TTAATAAAGTAATAGTGATACAATATAGATAAATAATTATTAATTAAATAATAACTACTAAATTATTTCAACCACTTTACCATTTTTTTGCCTCAAAGTGTAATTTTTAACTTTTTTTATTTGTGAAAGATGAAAAACTAAAATAAAATATAAATAAATCAATATATTCTACATATTTCAAAGCATCATTATTTATTCTATATATAATAAAACATATAACACTAACCAATATTTAGAAAGTTGGACAGACCAACTAGTTAGATTATTGTTAAACCAAGACCCAACCCTTGACCAATTCGATCATATAGTTAACCCTATTTACTCCAAAAAAAAAAGGGCCAAAACCGTCCACCAAACTAGTCTAACCCAAGAACTAATGAATTGGTCTTCGGTAACTTTTTTGCTACCTATGTGTTTTAAAGTACTGAAGGCACCTTACCCTACTATTTTTGCCATAAAACAAGCATGATCATTTGAGCGAGTTGGAAAATTTCGCTCTTGGACCTAGATTTTGTGTTTAAGCCCTGGCCGAGGCTCAAGCCCCCATTAGAGCCCCAAATTTTAGGGTTGGGTACATACATTTAACTATATGTATATTATAGATAATATATATGTATTTTATATTACATAGAAATAGGGCATTGAATGGGTTAGGTTCAACCCAACGAACCCAATGTTCATGAACTGATTAGGTTGGTTATGGTTCTAGGAATCGGAACTAATGAGCTGATTCTGGTTCCGAATATATTGTCCCAATTATTATCGGTTCGGAACTGGTTCCACCTAGTCGTGAACCGATTCAAACCCAACCCAATAATTAGATTTCTTCTCTTCTCCCCTCTTAGTGAAGCCTTTTTGTGTCGCGGCATTATCTTATTTAGGTCATAGTAACCAAAATCTAATGTTCAGCCTATAACACAGATGACCAACTATCCCCATTGACCTTTATTCACTGATGACAAAGAGACAATAAACACACTACAACCAAAGCCATGGGCCATGGCATATTTGTTGTTTCATTTTTCATCTCAAAAAGCAAATGTCATGCCACAAGCAATGAAAGCTAGGGATACTCAAATCTGGTCACTGAAATGAAAACAAATCGAACCAAACTAAATAAGCAAATTTAGTTTGATTTTTGGTTGGTAGGATCTCTAGTCATTGTAGCAAAGACCTAGGATCAAATTCCGTTGCCACTAGGGTTGGGGGATATGGTACTTCCCATTGTGTAGCCCCTTGAAGCATATATATATATATATATATATATATATATATATATTATACGTATTAATAAGAATATATTATTCACAAGTTTATAAATACTCATATAAGTGGGTCCAAACCGAACCAAAAACTGAACCAAACTATATTAAATTCAGTTTGGTTATGACATCTAATTCGGTTCAATCCAGTTCATAAGAATGGATAAATTGAAATGCTACTTAGATTCTTAGTTTTTTTTTTTTTTTTTTGAAATGATAGGTTCTTAGTTCTAACCGAATCGAATTGAGCCAACTGAATGAAAACCACTAAAAACTTATAATTACAAAATTTTATTAAATAACTAGTAAAAATCATGAAATAATTAAAAATTATAAAATATAATTAAATAGTTAATAAAATAATAAAATAAAATATTCAATGAAATTATTAAATAACTAAATGATAGAATTATCAAATAATTAAATAATTAACAAAAACTACTAATTATTGCTGAAATAATATAATAACCATGTTAAATGATTAAGCAACTAATAAGACATTAATATAATTAAAATGACTAAAACATTAGTGGCTTAGTGCATGCAATTAACTATTTGACTCTTCGTCTCTCTTTCGCGCGCGGGGTGTTTTTGCGCGGGCTCCATTTTCCCGTCTAAACTCTCTGCCTCTCTCTCTCTCTCAAATACTTAGAAGTTAGAAGAAAAATTGACCACTCATTCAAACACCCTTCTCTCCGCCTCTCTTCTCTTTCCATCCTTCCTTCACCAAACCTGAAGCAAAACAATCCTCTCTTCATCTCTCCATTCTCTTTCATCCATCCTCCACCAAACCTCTCTCTCTCTCTCTCTCCAAAGAGTGAGATCTCACTCGCACTCCGAAGCAAAAAAATAGAGGTCTGTGTGGAATCTGTTGCCATGGGATCCGTTGAGATGATATTGCGGTCACCACTAGATAAACGCCTCAATCAGCTCACGGAAGAGGACATCCCTCCGCTGACCTTGTTACTCACTTGCTCCCACCGCATCGGCTAAGGAAATGAGTGCCGATTTCCAGGTTTTTGTTTCAGCAGATGAATCGGTTTCGTATCGGCGAAAAGACTCCCTGAAACTCGTGGTTCTCGGTGATGTATCGTGCCGTCTCCCAGTCGTCAACAATGACACAATTTCCCCTAGGTTTTCTCCTACTGTCATTTTTAAATTATTGTTCTCTATCTTTTATCTTTTCGTATATTTTGCTTACATGCACTGCAATGTTCTTCCGGTTTGATTTTATTGTTTGATTCTCTTCAAGGAAGAACCTGCTTGTACCATGCTACGTACTATGGACATTCCGTTTGTCTGCAAGCCATTCTAGTTGCTGCTCAGTCAATTGATGTTGCAGATTCTTTGAGGGTATTTTTTATGTTATTTTGGTTTTACTTTTGCATCTTCTATAGAGAATTGTTTCAAGGCTTGATGGGTCATGATCAAAAGCTTATTACATTTCATTTGTTTGATTATTTCGTGGTTGGGTTTAAATTACAAGGGGTTTTCACACTTTGTAAATGTTAGAGATGGTAAAGGAGCAATTTCCATTGGTCCTTGTAGACTGATAGAGACGACCTGATTGTGTCAATATCATGTTAGACAGAGGAGCTCTTGTATGTTCTTTGATGGGTGGATATGGGTAATAAACCCCTTGCAAAGTATACTTTTTTCCATAGTTTCAATAGTTGCTTCTGTAATACTGATCATGCCCTAATTGCAGCTTCATTTGGTGGCTCGAGGGGGCTCTTTGGATTGTTTGCGTGAGTTGCTTTCATGGGGAGCAATCAGCTTCAAAGAGATTCTTCTGGATAAGAGTGTATGTAACTCATGGAAAAGATATAGTGAATGATGACGTTTGATCTCCCGGTCGTGGTTCAATCTAAAATTTGAAATTATTCCCGGGCTAACTGTAGTTAAATTAATATGTCTTATTGGTCCGTCCAGTCCGTCCAAATCGATTTTGGACTGGATGGGGTCCAATCCAAAATCGGTCCATTGACACCCTTACTCCTATGAATATCAAAAATGTGATCAGAAATATAATTCAACCTCTGCGAACAAAACTGAATTGATTAATCTTTAAATCTTTTCTTTTAACATTAGCATAGCAAACAGACTTTTTCTTTTCCTGTTGATGTGAATTGTGAAAGAAAAAGGGGAAGAAAGGAGAGGGGTAAGGGCCGGGACCGGCCGTTTGGTTGAAGATGTCTACATTGCTTTATCAGTCTGTCTTCTAGTAAGTAAAAGCAGGCCATGCGAGCTGTTACATTCTGTCCAAAGCAGCTGGACCCTGACTATTACTGAAGAAATGTAGCCGTGTCACAATCATTTCTTACTGTCCATTGCATCGTTTGTAAGGAGATAATTTACAGCCAGAGAGGCAGAGAGTACTTGTGTTCTCACATTCAATGGAGCGAACACCACAGTACTTGAGTGAGGTACAGAATGTATGTCTCTTCTCTCTCTCTCTCTCTCTCTAAGATAGACAACCGGCCGGAAAAGAAAATCTGGAAATGATTACAAGGGGTTTGCTTAATTAACAAAATTTTCAAAGATAAATACAAGGTAAGGAACAAGAAAACCCCTCAAAAAACAAAAAGGCTATGTGGGTAATACATGTCCAAAGCAATATTTACAAGTTTGCTCTCTCTGTACTCTCTCACAGCAAACGCTCAGCGGAGATTTGTTCTAAGTTCTAACCCACCGCTCGGTATTCTATTACCTGGCTAGCAGGAAGAGTTTTAACTTTTAAACATATATAGAGACAAAAGATCTAAGCTTGAATCCCGTTCCTGTGTGCAGATGTGATCCTGAACACATGCTCCTCACCTGTGCACTTGTCTACTGTAACAACCCACCGACTCCTCCTGGAACTACCACCATCACCAACTTTGGGGGTTGCCGGAATCCGGGTCACCAGCAACCCCTGTCCTATGGGCAACAACTGCGTATTCGATCCACTTTTCCACCCAGAGCCTCTGCTGGATGCATTATATCCCACAACCACAGCCCCACCATTCTTCTTTGCACCCGCCTGCACTACTCGGAAAACACCTTCGTAGTCCCCCAGAGTACAATCTATGAGAACGAAGTCCGCTCCTCTATAATCATTGAACAGGAGGGTTCGAGCTTCTCCGATCACGAACTCAACGCAATCGGCATTGACTCCTAGAGCTTCTTCTGATGAAAGGAGTTCCTCCAGCCCAGGAACGATGCACACCACATTCCCACCAGTCTGATGAGCCGCGGCAACTAGAGCTAGCGTGGTTGCGCCTGCAGCCCCCGCGCATACCTCCACCATCAGTTGCGAGCTGTTTCCTGCGGCCAGCGCAGAGACGAACTCGGCCACGTCTGGCTCCTTTGCATTCTTTCCCTACAACAAAATCAAAAGCAACCCATATGAGATCAATTGCAGAGAGTTCAACCTAGCTAGTCCAAGCAGTAGCAATGGTGGGTCTGTGAGATTCATGGAGTTGCTCATACTCACCATCTTCAGGGTTCGGAGATAAGCTTTAGAAGCATTTTCAGCAGACCAGCAAGCCATATCTGTGTTTCTCAACTCAGACTCAATCACTCAACCCTTGATTGTTTCAACTTTCAACTACTTTTGAACTCTATAGGGCTTTTGGCCTAGCGTGTGGGTGGATTTATATAGCAACCGGGGCAGCTGGTCAGTTGTTGATAATTGAAGGGACGGTGTCATTCCAACTGGCAACCTTAGAACAGAACATCGAAATATATTAAACAAATCTAGCATTAATAGACTAATAATTCTCCACCACTAGAGTCGGAAGCTGTGCTCCTCAGTCCTCACCAATTTGCCTCACATGTCGGGGTGTTGGCACTTGGTACCCTGCCATCACATGGGTCCCTAACTAAGATATTCCCATGGAATAAAATATTGAAATATATTCTGATGATTCCAACCATTCGATCAGAATTTATTTTTGACAATCAGACAAGAGGGAGAAACATCCAATAGGATCAGATGATCACTGTGGGTTGTGCAATAAGCCAACCATTTGCATGTGGGCAACATGTCATCAGGATGATTACTTGTTTTGTTTTCTTGCATAGTAGAAATAATATTCTTATGAATCAAATAGTATTATAAAAAAAAAGAATCAAATAAAAATAATAATACTGTTCATTTGCAAAAAGATTTTTTTGCAACACTACACAATATTGTTGTTAGACTCGGGTTGGACCGGACAGTTGAAGCAGTGACTCAATGAGCAGCTAGCTCTGAAAGGGGTTCAGCTCAACAGAGGACAATTGAATCATGTAGGTCTTTCTTTTCTAGCTAGTTCAATATACAATTTCTAGCTTGTCTAAAACACTGATAATGGCATTCAAGGATTAATTAATTAAAAATAACATATATAAATAAAACCAAAACATGAACACAGCATGCATGCGACCAACTAGTTCCAGCAATGACACCAAGAGTAGCATTGTCATTTAGGGGTTAATTAATCTTTTGTAAGCTTCCCAGTTAGCAGCTTAATTATTACATTATTGATTTATTTAATAGTTAAGAGTTAAGACTTAGCTTAGTCTAATCTAAGATGAGAAATATCTGGTTTTCTTTATGCCATTCCCGAAATATTCATGCAGTAGCTGTAATGTCCTAGACTAGACAGACCATAACACGGATAAAAGAGGAAGACGCAGAGATAAATCTGGTTTGGTGCCATTTCTCCGAGACAAACTAAACAAGAGCCACGTTCATTTATGCAACAATTGCAAGCAGCCAACAAAATTGTATATATCGTTTCTAGTATTTTTATTCAAATTCTGAGCATACTGGTTGTTCCAAGGAGCCGAACCCATTTCAACAACTGAACTTCAGATCTGCCCATGGCAATCCATAAACATATACCAACCCATTTGGAGGGTGACAGTTATCATCAGTTCAGTTGGGTTGAGACAAGACTGAGGGAAGGAATGACCACCCTATTCCGTCTCAAATTTAGGGTTCGTTATCGGAATTAGAGTCAGAATCAAAACAGTCTATTCTCATAATCTATTTGATTCATATAGGAGTCAGAATGAAAATTGAAATCAGATGGAATAGGATTTCATTTCCAAGGGAAAGGAAAAGAATGATTATTCCCTCAAATGGGAGAATGTCGTTCCACCAAGAATAGGAATGCGATTTCGATTCTACCCAACCAAATAATTGGTCCAATTCCAATTCTAGACCTCTATTCCTGCAAACCAAACATGACCTTAATTGGTGGCCCCGTATATCTAATCTAACTAGCTATGAAGAATATATACTGAAGCTTGAGTGGACTGAACAATAAAAACCCCAAGAATAAATTCAGTAGCTTTAGGGCTGATTTTTTAAGTGGGTCATCTGGGATGCTTGCCCATGAATTGGATTTGAAATTGGGACAAGCCGACCAAATCCTGAACCGGGAAGAAGCCAGGCAGGTTCATGCTAGAGTAAAGAATTGCTATCCCTAGCAAATCGAGCCACAGCCGACCAGGACAGGTTGTTTTGAGAAGACTGAGCAGCCCAACCATAATAGAATATACCAAACAAATAGTAAAAAGAAGATGTAATAGATTAATAGGATTAGCCAATTATAAAGTTACAACATATTGTTTTGCCCCGACAACCCAATCTGGATCAAAGTGTGATGAAGTTGCTTCAGTTGTAAAAGATATGAAATAAAAATCAAGAAGCCACCCCATTAAAGTTTTGTCTGGTGGTGGTCTCGGGATTCAACAAAATATATAGTTAGGTTCCCCTTGTCTGATGCACTGAGAGAAGGGAAGTGGATGCCGACGTTAAGCTTAAAAAAATTAGGGTCATGAGATCGATTGTTCTTTTCTTGCTATTTTATTGTTCCAATTCACAAGCAAAATTCTTTAAACACAGAACGTGGGAGAGAAGGTGAAGCGAAGTATACATGGACAAGTTATGGGTGCTATCACAGGAAAATTCAAAGAACCAATCTGGGTTTTTTTTTTTTTTTTATTTATTTTTTGGGTAAATCAAGAAAGAATCTGGTTGAATTGAAAATACAAACCATTAGAGGAGACATGTCTGGATGGGTCAACACACGTATGGTTGAAATCGTACCATTTTTTGTACCCTTACATACACTACATCGTTTGATATTATATGATTGATTGTGTTCAAGAACAAAATAATATGGCATTGTGGGTGTTTTAGGGGGAGGTGGGTCGGACTCGGATGTTACCCAACCAGATTATTAATTATTAATTATTGAGATTGATGATGAGAGTTATAACCCACCCACAGAGAGGAATGATTAAAGATATTTAAACTAAAATCACTGTTGCTAAAGCATTTAGTCGGTCCGAGTCCAAGAAAATTCGATTGGTTTAAGTGGGTCGGGTTTTCAGGTTAATGTTTCTTAAGCCTCTACAGGATGACAAGTAATCAGGAATAATAAGGCCTCGGAAGAGAGAGAGAGAGCATGTGTTGTTTATGAAACAAAACCAATTTATTTTTAATTTTTAAAATAAACACTGTTTAGGAATGTATTCTTGTTTTTTGGATGATGTGGTAATTTCAAAAACAACTGAAAACAAAAACATTCATGTTTTAAGAATGCCCTTAAATTGGTATTTTGTGTTTTTTTTTCGCTAGAAGATATTTTATGATGTTTATTTGCACATAATAAAATAGCTGTGAAAAATGAAACTTAATTTGCAAATAATTAATGCTTACCGTTCCTTCTACTTAATTTTTCCTAGATCATCATTTTCCAATCTCGGGTCCTCAGTCCTCTTAATTGATGCATATTTAGTTTCATCTTTCAAGTGAAGCCAGACATAAGAAGAATTAAAAATATACTGGCTTTCTTATAGAATATTACTAGTGAGAATCCGTATGATATATGGATTTTGTTTATTTTTAAATAATTAAGATAACTGTTTTATAATTTATTTTTAAATAATTAATAATTATTTATATTTTATATAACATTTTAATAATTTTTTTGCAACATAAAAATAATAATAATTAATTTCATATAGGGATGTTCATCAAGCTGATGAAATTGACCCAACTCAACCTAAGTTGGCCACTTTCTGGTATTTCTGGTCGGCTTTACAACAATTTCCCAACTCGACCAAGTCAAGTTAGTTTCGATTTGATCATTTGTAAACTAATCAAAATTGAACCAACCCAATTATAAATATATATATTAATATTTTTATATTTTAAATATATTTTTTTTAATATAAGAAAGTGGAATAATTTCCAAATTTCTTAGTCTAAAATATTTAATACATATATTATATGTAAAACATAATTATACACTATTTATTGATAAAATATGTATTTGCACACATATATACATATATGCACATTTATATATGTGTATAAATATATAGAGTACTAACGTGGAATAGTCAAACTCATTCAACTAGGACGGTTGAACTGGTGACCGCAACCCATATGCAAAAGTCGATCGGTCTCTGGGTTGGTATTTAAAACATTGACTGATACAACTTGAGTTGGTTAGTTTCTATTAATAGTTGGATAGTTTCGAGTGACCAATTCCCCAACTCGATCCGATCAATTTCGCTGGCCAAACATTCTACAACCAAATTGAACTGCCTAGTGAACACTCCTAATTTCAGCTAAATTGATAGTTTAATCTCTAACAAATAACAATAGTTTAATCACCACTAATTATTGGAAATGTAATAAATAACTAATAAAGCTCCAAGAATTTTGTGTCATTAATAAAATTTTGAAGTTATTACATAATTTCATTATTTAATTTATATTTTGTTTTTTTAAAATATGATTTAGTATTAATTTTTTTTTATATTTAAGACATTTAAAAATTAGTTATTTATAATATTATTTATTTATTTTTTAATTATTTATATTTTGTATGCTTATTATCAAATATTATTAAATCTATTATAATTATTTTTATGTTTTTGGTAAATTTTCAAAGTTATAACATGATTTCATTATTTAATATTTTTTTTGTTTTTGAAATAATATATAAAATATGATTTAGTTATTAAAACTTTGATATTTAAAGTATTTAAAAATTTATTTGTTTACAATGTTATTTAATTATTTAAATAATACTATTATTTAAATTTAAAAATATTAATTATTTATCAAATTTAATAATATAAATAATACTATTATTTAAATTTCAAAATATTAATTATTTATCAAATTTAATAATAAATAAAATTATAATTTATACTATTATTACATAATTTCATTATTACATTTTTTAAAATATAAAATTATTATCAATTAAAATATTAATATTTTTTTTCAATTCATTACATAATTTACATTATTTTAACTATTTAAAATTTAGCTATGTTAAATAATCTGCGAAATATTTAATATTGTTTTCTTTTAAAGTTATTACGTAATATTAATATTTTGTTATACAATTAATTTGATATTTTTAATATTTTTTATTTAAAATATTTAGTTATTGAAATATTTAAATAATATTTTATTTTATGATTTTAAGTTTTATTATTTGAGTAACATTTAAATATTTTTTATTTAAAATTTTAAAATATTATTTAGTTATTAAATTAAATAATCCATAAAATTATTATTTATATTGTTACTATATAACTTCATTATGGATTTCATAAAAATATAAAATTATTAATTATATAAATATTATTAAATCTATTATAATTATTTTTTGTATTTTTAGTAAACATTTTAAAATTATTACATAATTTCATTATAATACTTAAATAATTGTGAAATTTTTAATTGAAACTTTCTTTAGATAGATATAGATGAAAAGTGGGTGAGAAGATAAATAGGAATTAGAGATAGAGTCTTAGAGATAATTTAGAAGAAAATGGGGGATAGTTAGTTTCCTAATAAAAAGGAAAGAAAAAAAAGATAGCCATGTTGAGGTGGCAACTCCATGGGCTTCTAAAGGAAATTTTGAACCCCCTCTAGGATTGCTCCGCTTGGGGTAATGAAGCAAGGAGAGGCCATCTGACGTGGCATGTTCTAAAAATATCATTTTGCTTATTGTTTCATGCATCCAACCAAACTTAACACAGCCATATATGTTTATCAAAAAAGAAAAAAAAAACACAACCATATATTTTCCATTTTCAAGGAATATTGGTTCAACTTCAAGCAAGAGATACCTCTGGACCTGTCAATGAAATAGAATAATGATACTTATTATTGGCCGATATGATTGAGGCCTGCAAGCAGCTGAAATGGACACATGGGATTGGATTAATGACCAGAGAGGAAGAAAATGTCCCTATCAAACCCATACCCATCTGCAGGCTGCTTCTCCCTGCAAAACAAGGAGCATATGAACGAAGCTGGTGATGGTGTAGACGATTACAGTATGTATGGTCCATTTCGTACTTAACAAAGATAGTTAAGATATATGTTAGAGCAATATATACAGTTGCTCAAACTGTGTGTTGGAGTGGTTTTCTTTTTGGGTGGCCAAGCCCATCCAGTACACCGTCAAGAGAGTACGATCAACCTGCTTGGGGGTTGGGACCGTCCACTATTTCCTGTACAACTTACTTGGCAAAAACGTCGAACACCTTGTGCATGCATAAGGTGCACAAGGTTTTATAATAGTCACTTTCTTCTCGCAAAGTCAGTAAGCCAATAAGTGTTGTGATTAATTTCTATGCCGACAAGAAAAGGAAGTTCTATCTATTTCTCTCTCAGAAATGATGAACCCCAAGAACTATAGCTTAAAATAGCCAACTGGCAAATCTGATTGCATTGTGCAAAGATAGAGATAGAGTGCTCCCCACACCAAAGTGAGTTAATATGCAAATAGGAAATGTGCTATGGGATTGGTATGGAGAGATATATACAAATTCATGGAAAACCATGAACAAATCTTTATTTTTGGACACCCATCCTGTGCTTAGGTTAATTGTGACAGTTAGCCTCTCAAACCTTTATTTTTGGACAAAGATCCCTCTATGTCTTTAGATTCCAGCACCTTGCTCCTAATTATTAGTGAGTTAATAATGAAAGTGAAATTACCAAATTCCTGGCCCATTCGAGATTTCATGAATTGAGGGAAAAATGATGAACCACTCTGCAATGAAGTACAAAGAGGTTGTGGCAAAACAAACTTGGGGTTAGAGGGTGGGTGCATGTAATTTACCCATGTAGGTTCAATATTCCCATTATACAACACAATGATTTTTTTTTTTTTGATATCGTCCAAAAATGTTTTTTAAATACACGAAATGCAAATAATCCAAAAAAAAAACATATAATACGTGATTAACATAGATTTTAAAAATGAGGGATTGATAATTCGAAAACTTTAATTCAATATAATTTTTAAAGCTTTTAAAATATCTGCGTTTCCGTATAAAAATATGCTAATTTTGTTAAATCTTTTAGATGAGAATGCATTAAGCATAAATTTGTATTTTGAGTGGCACATAGCTGTTGGATGAATTCAGGTTTAGGTCCACTCAGGTGCGGTCATGTCCAACAAGAAGTTGACCCACATTTAGGGTGTATGAAAAAGACACCCACTGTAAGTCTGCAACCGATGGAGAGACAACCAGACAGGGTTGATAGGTTCTTTGTAGGAGGATGGTTTAGATGAGCAGTGGGTTCTAGGTAAGGGATGTCAATGGATCAGGTTAAATGGTAAATCCGGTTTGACTTGATTTTTACAAAGTCGGGTTAGGATCAGGTCTATTTAAGTGTAGGGTAGGATTAGGGTTTTGATTTTTTAATCCATCGCATCAGGTCATGATACCCTTCTAATTCCATACCCTTCTGTTATTAGTGGAGAAAGTGACTCCTTAAAACATTTAAACCAATTTTTCAATCTAAATTAATGACTTTAAGGTTTACAAAATGTGTTATATTAAAAAGGTTACAATTGAAAGATTGCAAATCGGGTTGGATCAGTATCCGGTTGAACCATTTATGATCAGATTGGGTAATTAGGTTATGATTGAGACAAACTCGCATCAAACCTGACCCATTGACATCCCTAAACTAGTTGGGTTAGGTCTGGAAGCTGCCCAATCCCAACATAAACTGGATTAGATCGATTAGCCAGCCCAGATAAATAAAAAACAGAAGATAACAAAGGGTCGACAGGCAGGCTGCCAGGTAATGAAGTAAATCAAAAGATGCCTCTCCCCTACAAAACACTGAAAAAGGTTTGAAAGTCTACTGTTTGGCGTACCAGGCCAGGTTGTCTCTAACATGACCAAGCATCCCAGCCATCTTGGAATGTTATGTGCATGCATGATGAATAAAATTAAATGAAAAGAAAGAGGCTGTCTGTTAAGATTCAACGATATTTATTCTTAATTCCCTCCAAACAGATGCAGGATCTAAGCACCCATTTTGATTTTCTGTCCTGTGAATGATATCTCATAAATTTTGGAATCCAGAAATAAAAAATTAAGGCTCCGTTTGTCAGATTTTGTTTGGAGGGAGGATGCGGTGGGTCGGTGGTAATAATAAAAGTTTTAAAACCAAATCGGAGAACGAACCATCATCGACGTTCTGTTTGAATTAACTTTATTAAGATCATAAGATTGTTTTTCTTTTTCTCACTTTTCAGGAGAAGCTCATCAGAAAGATATACAATGAACGTACGATCGAATTATATCTTTTATTTTTTTAAGGCCCAAGACATTGCATCCGGCACCAGGAAAAAAGATACTACGATGAGAATTAAGAGTTGGTATGTTAAATGGATGGAGTGAGAGCTGGTGGATGGGAATGAGAAACAAAACCCCAGTAGAAGCTGGCAACATCCACGATTAATTAGCAAAATCGTTCTTTCCGATTTTGCTGATGTGGCAGCTTTCTGGTTTTGAAACAACATCATACAAAGGCTACTCTATCAGTGCAGGTGAACTATTAAGGGCATTAGACGTTTGGATTAGTGGTTAGTGGTTCCTAATTGCTAATTACAAAACTCCAGCATACAAACAAGCAAAAGCAAAAGCATAAGTAACCTCTTCAGGCCAATCCCATAACTTACCAAAAATCCCATAGATCAAGAATAATTCAGATTAATGTGAGGACTAGGCAAAGTTTATTTTCCTGGGTTTCCTAGATGGGCAAATAACTTTCTCAGTAGGGGGGAAGTTTCCAACACTTGAGGCCTCGTTCACTTTTTGGTAAGTTTACTTGGGTAAGTGCATTTACCTATATTCTTTTATTTCTCATGTAAACAAGGCAATGACTATTTTAGTCATAAAAATCCATTATTAAAAAAGGCATTTTTGTCCCATTCAAGTGTTTGTGGATTTTTATGGTTAAAATGGTCATTTCCTTTTTTACTTGAGAAACAAAAGAATATGGGTAAATACACTTACCTGGGTATGGAAAAACTTACCCATGTAATTAATTGCATTTACCCAAGTATAAATAACTTACCAAAAAAGGAAATGCTTGCTTTTGCAAATGAAACCTTGGTGCTGGGGCCTTCTTATCATCATCATTATCACAAGTTCAGCTTTGGTCAATGCAGGGCATGTTCGAACACCCTTTACAGCCTTGCATTGAGAATATCTCCGTACTTACATGATTTATTTCATGGGGAGATATTCCTAATGCAAGGAGAGGCTGTTCGAACAGTGTGAGCACTGACTGAAGCCAATCTCCGATATCACCCAAGTCTTGTCTCAACCATATGAAGTCAGTTAACATGAATCCCGTTTTATGATTGTACTCTCTTTAATGTCATCACGAATCCCGTTTTATGAAGTCCGTTATCACCCAAGTCCTAATCCCTAAGACTAAGTTTGGTTTGAAGGAAAATGTAGGGAAAGGAAGGGAAAGGTAGGGAAACCTTTATAAACCTTATATAGGTTTTTTCGTCTTTCCCTTCCTTTCCCTACCTTTTCTTTCAAACCAAACATAGCCTAAGTTTCTACCCCTATTAATTCAATAAATCACTTCGTAGAAGCAAAGCATTTTTCGTTTCAGTAAGTTGAGGGGCAAAGTAGGTCAATGAAAAATTAACCAACTTTCCCCTATTCTTTTAGGCTCGGATTGGAAGGAGTACAAATACAAATTTGTAGAGTGCAAAACTTTGTATTTTGTATGTATTTGCACGGTACATATTTGTATTTGTACTCCAACCAAACTGAGCCTTAGTGGTAATTGTGAGACCATCAAAACTCAATTATTCCCTGGGTGACTTGAAGAAGTCTTACCCTCCTTCCAGGTGGATAACTTATTTTTCCACTACCAATGAGACAAAATGTCCATTAAACAAGATTTTAAAAACCAAAAAAAGTCTAAAGGTAATATGATAACAGAAAAAACATAGGTAAATGCATTTATCTGAAAAACATTTACCTGCATAAATAACTTACCAGTAAACGAGCAAAGCGTTAGATGTATCGGCCTTGAGACTTAACCAGAAATATTTACGGATGGATCTCTATCCTGGAGAGAGAGAGAGAGAACATAACTTTTAAAATAAATAATGGGCGAATTAATGTTTATAAATATCCTGACTGGATAGGATAACTTGCCCAAACAGAAACAATATTTGACACAGGACCGTGTTAATCTCTTTTCCCCTGTTAGTAATTCCAACTAGACTTCACAACCAAAACTCTCAAATTTATATAACTCCATTATACTCAACAGAAAATTGAGCTTATATGACTATATCAAGTGCAGCATACCACAGCAGAACCCATAGAAGTGTATACGACAACTCAAGTACACCATCTAATAATCTACCAGTCAACATATATGACTACTAGATCACAGCTTAACCAAGGGTATCTAAGTAACTCGTGAATCCTCGGCCTGTCATGGTATAATTGAATCAGTCTATGCTTATCCTGGTAGTTGCTTTACTTCTACGTACCCTTGGATGTCCGTTGCCTGGCTACACCATCCCACCCCATTCTCTCAGACATCCCTGGCTGTTGTGTGGAATTATGGAAGAGCCCATCCACGCTGCCTATCTTGCCCACTGCTACTAGCACCTACATTATCAATGTATTTGAGGACATGAAACCAGTCAGTATTACCAACTAAAGAGGGCCGTTGAAGAACAAACCAAAACAATCTATGCAAAAGAACTAGTCACCGAGGAAGAGAAAACAGGCTATAACATTTGATAGAATGTACAATAATCAGCTAACAGGACTCCATCTACGTTTTTCCTCAACCTT